TTGTACGCTCCGGAGCTCGAGCGGCTCTGCGCCTTCTACACGTTCAACGAGGGCAACATCACGACGATGCCCGGCTCCAACGAGACCTGCGCCTGCCAGCTCGTCGGCGGCCAGTGGTACCGGTGGAGCGACGACTTTGGCGCGACGTGGAGCGCCGAGCGTATGCGAGTGCCGATCCGCGTCACGTCCATCGACCGCGAGAACCCCTGGAAAGGATCGGTCCTCCAGGGCTGGACCGTGAGCAAGCCCATCGCCGTGGACGGCGCCGTGCTCATGCCATATACGAAGATCGGGACCTACGTCCAGTCGCACGAGCGCCAGTGGGTGCTCCGCAGCGACAACGTCCTCACGGAGCGGGACGCGCGTAAAATCAGGTGGACGACGTGGCCCGACGGCGACGCGGGCTGCGGCGCCGCGGACGGCTCCGACGAGGCCGAGGAGGGCGGCCTGCTCGACCTCGGCGGCGGCGTCGTTCTGTTCATCTTCCGGTCGAGCGGCGGCCGAGTCAACGAGTGCGTCTCGCGCGACGGCGGCCGAACGTGGGCTCCGAGACTGGTCCACTACGCGCCGATCGAGGCCGACGAGGCGCCGCGCCCGCTGAAAAACCCGAGAGGGCCGCTCACGGCGCGAAAGCTCGCCGACGGCAGTTTCTTGCTCCTGTATTTCAACAACGGCTGGAAGGGCTATTCGCCCCACAACGACACGCGGAACCCCTACTTCCTCTCGCTCGGACGCTCGGACGGCGACCGCATCCTCTGGTCCCAGCCCGAGGTCGCGCTCTACGGCCGCGGCGTCGTCGACGGGCACAACCCGACCTACGACCTCGCGTACCCGGACGTCGTCGAGGAGACGCCCGGCGGCCGCGTCGTGATCTTCGAGGCCCACGAGGGCTACCCGGGCTCGAATTGTAACGACCCGGCCTTCGAGGCGATCGGGGGCTGCGGCGTCGCGACGCACGTCGTCGACGCGCGGTTGCTGGCGGGGCTTCGAGCGCAAAACGATTCGTCGGCCGTCGCGACGGAGGGGCTCGCGCTCGACGCCGGGCCGGGCGTCGCACAAGCGCCGCGGCTGCCGGTCCTGGACGAGGCGCCCGGCGGCGTCACGGTGGAGGCCTGGCTTCGAGAGGATGGCGTGGTGCTGGACTGCCGGCGCGGCGACGTCGGCGTCCGGCTCCGGCGCCGCGGCGCCGTCGTCAGCTTCGAGGTGAACAACGCAACGTTCCACTACGCCGCGGGCGCCGACGCCCGGCACGTCGCCGTGGTCGTCGACGGTGGCCCGCGGCTCGCGACCTGGGTCGTCGACGGGCATTTCGGCGACGGCGGCGAGGACGCGGTCCTCGGCTACGCGTTCTTCGACGCGCTCGGCGACGCGAACGGAGCCGCGACGTGCGCGGTGGGGGCGGCGGCGCGCCGGGTCCGCGTCTACGGCCGCTACCTCCGCACCTCGGAGCTCGTCGCCAACCACCGCGCGGGGCCGGAGGCGTAGCTGTGAGTAAACACGAGGTCAACGCAAACTTCGACGGGGTGTTTCGAAGGCCGCGTCGGCCATCGCGTCGACCACTCGGGACGACCGCAGCATCTCTGCGGCGTCCGCGCGCCCCCGGCTGCGCCCGGCTCGAGTAGTCGCGCGCCTGCGCGCCCCCGGCCGTCCGCCATGCCCGAGTGGGCGACGGGCCGCCCGCCGCGGAGCCCGTGGAGCGGGACCATGGAGGGCAGTCTCGTCAAAAACAACACGACGGGCGGCGCGGAGTACAGCCGCAAGGTCTTCTGCGTGCTCATGGGCTACACGCTCTGGGAGTTCGACACGGAGGCCGACGCGCGCGCGGGCCTCTGGCCGCGCGCCGAGGCCGACGTCATCGGCGTGAGCCCCGCGCCGAGCAACTCGTCGACGCTGCGGTCGACGATGGTGTCGATGACGTCGAGCCGGAGCGCGACGGACGCGGCGCTCACCTTCGTCTACACGACGACGGCCGGGGAGCGCGTCTGCGCCGTCGCGCCGTCGGCGGGCGAGTGCGACCGGTGGCAGGTCGCGCTCACGCTCGGCGTCGAGTTGCTCCTGCTGACGGGCCTCGCCGAGGGCGCGGGCGGCGCGGCGACCTGCGTGCCCCACGAGCCGCCCCAGCCCGACGCGTCCGCGAGCCACTGCGCGGCGTCCGGCGCCGCCTTTGGGTACACGGTCGCGCGCCACACGTGCGCCGCGTCGGGCCGCGCGTTCGCGGCCGCGCACATGGCGCCCGCGCCCCTGCCCCTGCCGGGCATCGGCCTCGGCCACGCCGCCAAGCTCAGCGACGCCTGCGCCCAGGCGCAGCAGCTCCTCAACGCGAGCCGGTGCCGCGCGCGGCTCCTGGCCGCGGCCGCGCACGGCGCGGACCTCGAGCAGACGCTGGAACGCAAGTTCAAGGCGGACCGGAAGCCCTTGTGGTTGCTGCACAAGGACCAGCTCGACGCGCCGCCGCCGGCGCCCCTCCTGTCCCTCGACGGGTCGGCGCCGCCGCCGCCGCCGGCGAACACGCGCGACGAGGCCGCCAAGGCGGCCTGCGGCATCCTGCTGAGCGACGCGCCGCTTTCCGACCCCGAGTACCTCGCGCTCTTCAACACGTGCCGCGAGGCCGCGCGCGACGCCGCGGACCGGTCCTACGACGCCTACGTGGCCCAGGTCCTCGACGGCATGCGCGGCGACGCCGCGGCGCTCGTCGGCGAGCTCCACGCTTTGACGACGTTCCCGCCGCCGCCGGGCGGCCGCGGCGCGCCGCTGCCGCCGCGGCCCCGCGCGGCCTCCGCGGAGCCGGCGAAGAAGGAGGAACCCAAGGAGGAGCTCGTGGACCAGTCCAAGGCGTCGTCGGCGCTCGCGTCCAAGGGCGAGGAGAAGGACGACGCGGACGCGGTCGTCGTGCAGATCGACGACGGCGACGCGGCCTTCGCGCGCGACCAGGACGTGCTGCGGTCGCGGCTGCCGTCGTCGTCCCACGGCGTCGCCGTGCGCGACGTGCTCGTGGCGCTGCTGCACGTGCGCGCGGACGACGACGACCTCGTGCCCCTGGACGAGGAGCCGCCGCCGCCCGCGCAGCTCCAGACGCCGCGGCCGGGCCCCGTGAAGCGCACGCGCAAGGGGCCGAACCTGCTCTTCTACCTGCCCCAGCTGGCCCACGTCTACTACCGCTGCCTGCCGCCGCGCGACGCGGACGCGGCGGTCCGCGTCACCTTGGTCGAGGAGTTCCTGCTCAAGACGTCGCGGCGGTCGTTCCGCTTCGCGCTGCGGCTCGCGTGGATGCTCGTGGCCTATCTGGAGGACCGGGGCGCGGCGCCGGCGCGGCGGCCCCACGTGCTGCGGCTCCTCGTGGAGCTCGAGGCCGCGGCGGCGTACGCGTCGTCGCAAGGGACGTCGGGCGACCCCTGGGCGCTCCGGCGCGACGCCATCTCCGCCGCGGCCATGAGCCGCCGGGGCCCGGGCTCCGGCGAGGCGTCGCCCTTCGCGGGGGCCGTCGCGCTGGAGCTGCTGCCGCGCGTGCCGCCGTGGCTCGCCCTGGAGCTGCGCCGCGCGTCGTCGGCGCTCCGCCGCGCGGTCGCCAAGGCCCTGGCGACGCTGGGCGTCGCGCCCGCGGAGCCCGTCGTGGATTTGAGCGCGCCGGAGTCGCCCGGCGGCAAGGCGAAGCAGTACTTCGAGACGGACCGGCTGGGCAGCTCGTCGGACTACGACGTCCCGCCCTGTGTGGAAATCAAAATCTTCAACCCTACTTCAATGTGTGCGTAATCGAACGATTTGGACCAGACTCTCTCGCTGTGCTTCGAGAACTCGACGAGAGCAATCGATCCGTCCAAAAATCAGCCGAATCGACTTCGATTTGATTGAGATAGAGAGTTCTGAAGTTTGGTGGGGACCCCCCAAACCAGTGGTTGATTTCCACACAGGTCCCGCCCGACGACGTCCTCGCGCGCGAGATGCGCTTCGTGCGCGCCATGTGCGACGTCGCCGAGGCCATGCGGTCCGTGGAGCACGGCAACCGGCCCGCGCGGCTCAAGAAGGAGCTCGAGGCGCTGCCGCGGCGCACGCCGCTCGCGCACTCGCCCATCAACGCGACGTACGTCGTCACGGAGTCGGGCGCGCGGTCGTTGCACCTCGGCCGCGTCGCGCGCATCCCGCCCAACGAGGGCCACGTCTTCAAGACCAAGGCCCGCGCGCCGACGCTGATGCTGCTGGAGACCGTCGACGACCCCAAGGCCGGCGCCGATTTGCCCGCGCGCGCCGCGTCGCCGTCGCCGCTGGTCGGCGGCTCGGACAGCGACACGTCCGACGACGTCGTCGCCCTGGAGCTCCTGGAGCAGACGCGCGCCTCGGAGCGCGACAAGGAGCTCGCGGAGCTGCTGGCGAAGCAATTGGGCGACGTCGCGCCGGAACCCGAGGACGGCGAGCCCGTCTCTCCGGGCACGCCCCGGGGCCGGCCGGCGCTGTCCGCGTCGGCCATGAAGCGCGTCTGCTCCGTGCCGTCCATCGTCGACGCCGCCTGCGGCAGCGACGACGAGGGGCCCCAGCGCGACGACGACGGCGACGAGCCCGGCGACCGCACGCCGCCGCCGCCGCGGCGCGTCGCGTCCGCGACGACGCTGTCCGTGCTCGCCGAGGGCGAGACGCCGCGCGAGGGCGACGACGACGCGGCGTCCCAGCCGGAGAAGCGGTCCATCTCGCCCGTGCCGCCGCCGGATTTCGGGTCCGAGTCGGGCGAGGCGTTCGCGTCCGAGCCCGTGGCGTCCGGGTCGCGGGACCGCGCGGAGGTCGTCCGCGCGCTGCGCAAGAAGCCGGCCCTGGGCCTGAAGATCGAGCGGCTGTCGTCGATCACGGGCCCGGGCCTCGGCGGCGGCGGGAGCCCCGAGGCCGCGGAGTCCGAGGGCGTCGACGGCGCGGCGGACGCGCCCGAGAAGCCGGACGAGCTGCTCGGCGACGTCGTCGTCGTGCCGTCGCCGGAGCCCGAGGGCGCGCCGAAGAAAAAGTGGGTGCCGGGCTTCGGCGAGCCCTGGGTCGACAAGCGCGAGCGCATCCGCCGGTCGAGCCCCATCGGCGGCGAGCCGACGTGGAATTTGGTGTCGTGCATCGTCAAGTCGAACGACGACCTGCGCCAGGAGGTCTGCGCGCTGCAGATCATCGCCGCCTGCAACGACGCCTTCGAGGCCGCCGGCCTCGGCGGCGACGAGACGGGGCTCTGGCTCCGGCACTATTCGATCGTGCCCACGGGCGCGTCGACGGGCATCATCGAGACCATGGCCGACGCGGTGTCGCTCGACGGGCTGAAGAAGGCCAAGGAGTTCACGACCCTCAAACACCACTTCCACGTGGCCCACGGCGGCGACGGGTCGCTGCGCCACGCAGGGCAGGACAAGAGAGCGAAATTCCCAACTTCAAAGGCTCCTTTCTCGGCCGTTTTACACTCGTTTTGGCTGATTTTTGGACGAGCGATCATCTCTCGGAACGGTCTCGAAGCATGGATGCTTTTTCTGGAACGCGCGCGCGTGGAACACTCACGTTGAAGCGACGTTGAATCACCCTTGTCCTGCCCAGGCGCCACGCGAAGGCGCGGAAGGCGTTCGTGTCGTCGATGGCCGCGTACTCCCTGGTCTGCCACCTCCTGGGCCTCAAGGACCGGCACAACGGCAACATCCTGCTGGACAGCTTCGGCCACGTGATCCACATCGACTTCGGCTTCCTCCTGGGCCAGGCGCCGGGCGGGTCCTTCTCGCTCGAGCGCGTGCCCTTCAAATTGACGGCGGAGCACGTCGACGCGATGGGCGGCTGGTCGTCCGACGGCTTCGCCGACTTTGTGGTGTTGCTGGCCTGCGGCTTCGCGGCGCTCCAGAAGCACGCGTCGAAGATCCTCCACCTCGTGGAGATCATGGCCAAGGACTCGCCGTTCCCGTGCTTCAAGAACGGGCCCGCGTGCGTCGACAAGATGCGCGCGAAGCTCAAGCTCCACTTCACGACCAAGGAGCAGGTCGCGCACCACGTCGCCGAGCTCGTGCGCCAGTCCTACAACGCCTACGGCACGCGCCAGTACGACTCCTTCCAGTACCTCACGAACGGCATCTACTCCTGACCGCGCGCATTTTACCGCCGAACCCCGCGCGGCTCTCGATCGATCTCCCCTTTAAGGCGGCTGGCTTAGATGAAGCGGGGGGGGCGAGCAGGCCTAGGTGCTCTGCCAAATCACCTCGACCTCGGCCTTTAGGTGTGCGAATCACGGCATGTGAGCGTCCCGAGCGCGCAACTGGACTCGTGGGGGCGTCTGCCGATCGACACCCGGGAGCTCGGCTGGCTTGGACGGCGTTACGAGCCGCGGGGATTCTTGTGCACGGGGGGTGGGGGGTTCTTCGCGCGCTGCTTAGAAGAGGTCCTCCTCGGCGTGGGTGATGATCGTGCAGTCCGACGCCGGGTAGGCGACGCAGGTGAGCACGAAGCCGTCGCCCATCTGGTCGTCGTCGAGGAAGGACTGGTCCGACTGGTCGATCTCGCCCGCCGTGACCTTGCCCGCGCAGGACGAGCACGCGCCCGCGCGGCACGAGTACGGGAGGTCGAGGCCCTCCTCCTCGGCCTGGTCGAGGATGTAGACGTCGTCGGGGCACTCGATGACGGTCTCCTCGCCCTCCTCGACGAGGGTGACGGAGTACTGCATGCGCGTGGCCGACGGCGCGACGACGCCGGAGCGCATGAACGCGGCGGCGGGGGCGAGGAGGAGGGCGAGGGCGAGCTTCATGTTTTTTGCCTGCGGAGGAGCGGGGTTGAGCGTGCGCGCTTTGAGAGTGACTTTCCGGTGCTCCTCGACCCAGTCATATCGCGCGCCCAGGCCCACACGGCGCGCGTCGCGCGCTCGAAAATGGACTGAATTTCAGACAGAATCACCGATTGTTAGCCGCCGGTCGAAAACGACCACGGAATTTCAGCGCGCGCGTCGATGTAACTTAGCATCGACGAACGGACGAAGCGGGCGAACGGCGTAGCGAAAGGCATTGAGCCGAGTTTGGGCGCCCGGACGCCGGCCATTGCGTCGTAGGTGGCAAGTGCAAGGAGCGAGGCTTGAGCGCGGCGCGCCGCTGACGGCCCCAAAATTCGCCTCGTTGGAGGGATCCACGCTGGCGCTGCGCGCCGTCAACGCCGTCGCCAACGACATCAGTCACTTTTCGATTCTCCGCGGCGCGGCCTCTCTAGGCTCTGTAGCCGGTCGATGAGAACAGCGGAGAAGACCATGCCAGTGCACCCCGCGTAGGCGCGCGCTCACAACGCCTTTGAACACACAAAAAAATACACTCACCTTAAAAATACCTAGAGCGCCACGTCGACGAGCCCGCCGTTCTCGAACTTGGCCCATTTCCGGTTCAGGTCCGGCGCGGCGTCCGTCGCCGGGGGCCACGCGCCGCCGGCCATGACGCCCTCGACCTCCGCGACGGTCCGCGGGCACGTCGTGTAGTTCTCCAGCCCGTCCGCCGTGATGAGGATCACGTCCTCGAGGCGCACGCCGCCCGAGCCGCGGAACTGGGCCAGGCGGTCCGCGTCGAAGAACGCGGCCGTCTCGGGGTTTTCGAGCGCGGGGTCGAGCAGCGCGTCGATGAAGTAGCAGCCCGGCTCCACGGTGAGCATCATGCCCACGTCCAGCACGCGCGCCGTGCGCAGCTTCCGCAGGCCCGGGCGGCTCGACCGCGGCGGGTGGTCGGGGAGGTAGCCGCCGACGTCGTGGCAGTCGACGCCGATGAAGTGGCCCAGGCCGCACGGCAGGAACACGCCGCCGAGCTCCGCGGCGACCATGGCGTCGAGGTCGCCCCGCAACACCCCGAGGGTCACCAGCGACTTCAGAATCTCCCGCTCCGCCGCCAGGTGGCAGTCCGTCCACGAGCACCCCGGCCGCATGATTTTGTAGACCGCGCGCTGCGCCTCGAGCACGCCCTCGTACACAATCTTCTGGGCCGGCGTGAACGCGCCGTCCACGGGCATCGTGCACGTGATGTCCGAGCAGTAGCAGTGGTACTCCGCGCCCATGTCCAGCAGCGCGAGGTCGCCGGATTCGAGGCGCCGCGCGTTCGGCGCGCCCGCGTGGCCGTAGTGCAGCACCGCCGCGTTGGGCCCGCAGGCGCAGATGGACGTGTAGGCGCAGTTGCGGCAGCCGCCGTCCCGGGCGCAGCGATATAAAAACTCGGCCTCGAGCTCGTACTCGTACATCTCGGGTTTGACGACGCGCATGACGTCGACGTGCGCGTTCGACGTCACCCAGGAGGCGTAGCGTAGAAGCGCGGCCTCATCGGCGCTCTTGAAGACGCGGGCCTCGCAGGCGGCGAGGAATAACGCGTTCGGGACCGACAGATCGTCGCTCAGGTTCGGCACGTCCGCCGGCGGCGGCAGCCGCTCGTGGATGCCGTTGCCGCTGTCGCTGTTGACGCCCCGCGGCGCGTACGTCACGTCGAAGGTCGCGCAGTGGGCCGCGAGCGCCGACGTCCATTTCACCTCGACGCCGTACCGTTTCCCCAGCTCCTCGCGCGTCGCGATCTTGCCCATCCAGACCGCGTACTCCGGGCCGAGCTCCGGCGCGAAGAGCGTCGCTTTCCCGGAGGGGAGCGCGACGGTGCCGAACCAGCCGGGCTCGGCGACGCCGAAGAGGTACTGGAAGTAGGACTCCTGGCGGAAGAGCTCCTCGTGGTCCGTGTCGTTGCGCTCGTGCGCGTCGCCGCCGACGAAGAGGCAGACGCCCGGCGCGTGGTCTTTGAGGCGCTCCAGGAGCGCCGCACGGTTGTCGGCGTGGAGCCCGAGCGGCACGCGGTAGGTGTGCGCGCCGCGGCTGAAGAAGCAGGGGTCCGTCGCGAAGGCGCCGGGCGTGTTCGCCGGGCTCGCCTTGCTCTTGCAGTTGAGCGACGCGATGGCGGCCATGGCGGTGCTGTGGCGGTGCTGCAGACGGCTGGACCGGGACCTCGGTCGCGGCTGTGGCAGGGCGTGGGACCGGCGTGCAAGCACGGCAAGAGCTTCTCGTCGCCGGTTTCTCGAGAGGGCTGAACGCGCCGCCGCGAGCCGGCACCCGACACCATCGCGCCACGGATGCGATCGGGGTCGGGCGTCGTGCAGACCTTCGAGAGAGCTGAGCGACGCCCTTCCACACAAAACTTACTACGTCGCCGCCATGACGGCGATCTTCTTCACGACCGAGTAGGGCAGGCGGCGCGGCCGCCGGAGGCCGAGCAGTCCGAGCGCGTACTGGACGCACCGTTCGCGGTGGTCGTCGTCGATGAGGATGTCCGCGCTGGATGCCATGACTTTGCGGGTCGAGCTCGACTGGATTCGCACGTGGTACGTGCCCGGCGGGAGCCCCGACGGGACGGTGACGGAGTAAAAGCCCAGGTTTTCGACGCGCAATTCCAGGTTTTGAACTTTGTCTAACCAATCTTCTTCAGAGAAATCTGGGTCTGCTAGCTCTTCTTCAGACGGTTCGGCTCTCGTGTAAAGGTAGACACCCACGAGCGGCACGGCGCCCCGATGTCTCCAGGTGATCCGCTGGCGGGAAGCACTGTGCCAGATGCGCTGAGACGTCGTCACGTCCATGATCTCGGGCGGTGTGCATCCGCGATCAATCCAGAGGTCCCGGCTGGTTCCGCTGGTTTCAGGACTTGCCGTCGATCGAACTTTCACACGGTATTCGCCTGGCGGGAGTCCGGTCGGCACGGTGATCGAACACGAGCCTGAGTTGGGATGTCGCGAGTGGAGTGAATTGACATACTCCTCAGCTGGTGCGTGCTCCACACCGAGAAAACTGGAAGCAAAGGACCATGCCATCTCTTCTGTGTAGAGGCTGACCGACACGCTCGGCACGAAACCCTGATGCCTCCACGTAATCTGCTGAAGCGCGCCGCCTTTCCAGTCCTCGCTCGTTGCCGCCACGTCCAGGATCGCGGGTGGAGCACCGTCCTGATTGAGCTGCAGCGCTTCACTGAAAGCCTTAATGCGTAAATTCGTAGACGACGAGACGCGCACGAGGTAGCTACCGGATGGAAGTCCCGCCGGCGCGATGACGATGCACGAGCCCTCGTTAGTGAGTTTTCGATGTAGCTTCGTGCCGAGAGAATAGGAATCATCGACCTGGCACAAGCGCAACTCCACGGTGGGAACGTCGCCCTGATAGTTCCAAGTGATCCGCTGGCGCGCACCACCCGTCCACTCAATGGCCGTCGTAACGTCTGAGAGCGCAGGCGGCGTGCGGCCCTCGTCGATGCGGATGATTCCGCTGTGCGCGTGCACAACGATGCTGGCCGTCGACTCGACTTTTAAGCGGTACATGCCAGGAGTCATGCCAGTCGGCACCGTGACGAGGCACGAGCCCGCGCTTAAATTTGTTGTGATCGGGAGACGCTGGCCATAATAGTATTGATGCGAAGTACTAGTTTCTGAATCACTATGATTGTAGAGCCAGAGTTTCACACCCGGCACGTCGCCCTGCACGTTCCACGTGATCAGCTGGCTCTGACCTCCTTGCCATTCGGATTCGCAGGTCACGGCGCTGATCTCGGGGCACGGCTTCAGTCGCTTCGTGTCCTTTTTGTTGTCGGGCGACTCTAGGCCCCGCTTCATCGGCACCGCGCGTTGCGCAGCGTTGCGGGACGATCGGGCGGGGCGAGCTACCCTGCGGCATGCCGGCAGCTTTCCTTCACCCAAACTGCGGATGCCGTTTCCTCCCCTCCCTACGTCTACTTACACGAGCGGCGCCAGGAACGCGCTCGTCGCCTCCGCGGCGTCGACGACGGCCTTCGTCGGCGCGCTCTTCGCCGGGTAGGCGAGGACCGTCTCGATGGAGAAGCCGCGGAGCGCCTCCGCGATGGACATGGTCCCCATGGCCGAGGACCGGCGCCCCGCGAAGGGGAACGAGTCCGGGCCGCGCGAGCACTGGACGTTGACGTTGATCCGCCCGACGACGGTCGCCAGCATGTCGACGCACGTGGCCGCCTCGCCCGCCGGGTCGTTGGTGAAGATCGCGGCCTGCTGGCCGTTCCAGGACTTGCGGAGCGCGCCGTCGACCTCGGCCAGGTCCTCGAAGACGGCGACGGGCAGCACGGGCCCGAACTGCTCCTCGTGGAAGAGCCGCATGTCCTTGGTCACGGGGTAGACGATGGGCGGCGTGATGAGGGACCCGGAGCTGCAGCCGCCGCCGCCTTCCGCCGCGTTCGCGACGGCGGCGCCCTTGGCGACCGCGTCGGCGACGAGCTCCTTGAGGTAGCCGGGCTTCGACGTCTCGGGCAGGGGCGTCAATGCCACGCCCTCGGCCCAGGGCAGGCCGACCTTCTTCGCCGCGACCTTGGCTTTGAACTTGTCCAGGAACGCGCCGGCGACGGATTTGTGGACGTAGACGAGCTTGATGGCCGTGCAGCGCTGGCCGTTGTAGGACGTCGACCCCGCGCAGCACTGGTCCGCGGCGACGTCCAGGTCCGCGTCCTTGAGGACGATGCCCATGTTCTTGCCCTCGAGCTGCGAGAAGACCTTGAGCCGGTGCGGGCGCGGGTGGTCGCCGATCAGCGCGTCGCAGGCCTTGGACCCGCCGATGAACCCGAGCATGTCGACGAGGCCCGACTTCATGATGGGCGGGCAGCACTTGCGGCCGCTCCCGGACACGAAGTTGACGACGCCCGGCGGCAGGCACGTCGCGAACGCGTCCACCGTGAGCAGGTGGCACTGGCCGCCGATCGTCGGTAATTTCATGGTCACAACGTTCCCGCAGAGTAAGGCGGGGATGAGCATGGCGTACATCTCGTTCAACGGGTAGTTAAAAGGCGCGAGGAAGAGGATGCGGCCCACGGGGCCGCGGCGCGTCTTGCCCGCGACGCCGGAAACGGTCTGCCACTGGGAGATGGACGCGTCGAGCTCCTTGAGCGCGGCGATGGATGCCTTCGCATAGTCCATGGTGCGGTCGAACTCCTTCGCCGCGTCGGCGGACGTCTTGCAGATCTCCCAGAGCAGGACGTCGACGATCTCGGCGCGCTTCTCCGTCATCGCCGCGAGCGCCGCCTCGAGCGCCGCGACGCGGTCCGCGGCCGTGGCCCGCGGCCAGGCGCCCTGGCCGTCGTCCCAGGCCTTGGACGCCGCCTCGGCGGCCCGCATGGCCTCGTCGGACGTCATCTGCGCCAGCGTGCCGATGACGGCGCGCTTGCCCGTGGCCGCGTCGATGATAGGGCTCGTCACGTCGATCATCTCGCCCGTGCGCTCCTTCTTCTCGCCGCCGATGAAGGTGAACGCGCCGTCGACGAAGGGCTTCGGCGGGCCGTCGGCCGCGACCCACTGGGTCGGGGCGACCTCCGCCCACTCGAAGCTGGCCATGACGTCGACGCCGGCGCTAATGAAATGTTCAACGTAGCCATTCAACCTCTGCCGGACCGGTGGCGGGCAGCCCGAGTTCGAAGCGATGTCGGCCTATTCCAATGACTATTCCAAGTGGGACGCGCTGAGCGACTCCGACGACGACAAGCCGCAGGTGCTCCTGAAGCGCGCGGACCCGCGCAAGGCCGCCCACTTCGCCGCCCAGAGCGCCGCCGCGAACGGCCCCGAGCCGCCGCCGGCGAAGCGCTACTCGCTGGAGATGGGCAACGACGGCCCCTGCGTCGTCGAGGGCGACGCACCGCCGCCGCCGGACCCCGACGCGCCCTTCGAGACGAAGATGGCCTGGCAGAACACGCTGAGCCGCGCCTTCGTGCAGATCGCGATCCCCGAGGCGACGAAGAAGGGCGACGTCGCGGTCAACTTCTCCGACGATTCCGTCGAGATCGTCCTCGCGGGCATGCGGCCCGTCGCGCTGCCCCACCCGGCGGTCAAGGTGCCCCTCTGCACCTGGGCCTTCAGCCGCAAGTGCTTCTACGGCTCGAAATTCCCGCAGCTCTGCGTCCACTTCGAGCTCGAAAAGGCCGAGGACGCGCTCTGGCCCCAGAACACCTTCGGCGGCGGCACGGACGAGGTGCTGCCGGCCGAGGAGGAGATCGAGGCCGCCTGGGCCGCGCCGACGGACGAGGCGGCGCCGCCCGCGCCCGCGGCCGGCGGCGGCGAGTGGACGGGCGAGTTCTCCTGGCGCCAGGACAACAAGAGCGTGCTCGTCTGGTTCGACGTCCCGGACGAGACGCGCGCCAAGGACCTCATCGTCAAGTGCACGCCGACGACGCTCCGGGTCGAGCTCACGGTCGGCGCGACGACGGGCCGCTACGCGCGGACGCTCGCGGGTCCCGTGCTGCCTGAAGAGCTCATCTGGGAGTTCGACGACGACGTGCCGGGCAAGAAGCGGCTCCGCGTCGAGCTCGCCATGCGCACCCTCGCGTCCTGGGAGAACGGGCCCTTCCTGCCCGAGGCGGACACCGCGGGCAAGGGCCTCAGGCAGCACTCCTGGTCCGAGCCCAAGGGGGAGGCGTAACTATGTCGCTTTAGGTGCTTAGTAGAATGGGCGGGTCGCCTCGCGCCAGGACCAGCAGGCCGGGTCTATGGAAATAGCTCTCAACTCTGAGATGCCCGGGATAAGAATGTCATGTCGCCCTAGCTCGTTCAAAACGTCCTCGACGGCGTCGACGACATCTTCGTAATAGCCCATATCATCATCGACATCGACATCAGAAAATCCAGGAGGGCAGAAGCGCAGATTTTGCGGCAGCGCAGCCAAAACGCTCTTGAGTCGAGGCAAATCGAGGGCTTGATCTACCGCGGCAGAAGATTCTTCAAGCAGACCAACAGCGGGCGTTCCGTGAAGATCAAGAGATTCGAGATTCGGCATTGACGCCACGGCCTCAAGAAACGCGATCGCATCGCTGTTGTCGTGATTCGTCGCTCCGTAATGCCGTAAATTAGGCGCCTGCCGGGCCCACGCGCGGAATACTGACACTTCGTGTTGACCCTGAAACAAGCAGCCATTGTGCATGTGTGTCAGTGCGTAGGTGCGGCCCGGGATGGGCTCTGGCACATACTCATAGCAATCCACGACCGAGAGAACCCGCAACTCGGAACATCGCTGTAAGATAGCGTCCATGCTAGAGTAAGTCGGGAACAATGAACCCTCTAGAGAACCGCCGCCGTCGCCGCGCACACGAAGCGCGCGCAAATTCGTGCAGTGCTGTGAAATTAGGGTCAGCGCTCGACTGAGCTGCAAGGACGTGAGTTTTGTCGTATACTTCTCCCATGGTTCCAAGAAAAACGATACAACGCGTAGTCCTGTCAAGCCTACACAGCTCGCACCGATGCGGGCGGCGAGGCCAAGATGGGGATCGGGCGTCAAGTATTCGGCAAACTGCATGCCCTCGTCTTGCAGCTGCGTTACGACGGGACAAGCGAACGCCGCGACGCGACGCCAGAAGCTTTCGATTCCAGCAACGCTGGCGCATGGACTCGCCGCGCCGAGGCGCTCGTGACGCCCAAGCAGCAGGGCGTGCATTTGGCGGCGCGATACCATGTAGCGCTTGCGATCGAAGTCCGCGCGATTCCCGAACAGGAGCCCATCATTTTTCGGCGCGCCCTCGTCTTGATGGTCTTCTACCTGCAGAAAGAGGAGAGTTCCTAAACGATGTCGCCGCAGCAGTCGCTCCTGAACCGCAGCATTAACTTCGTGCGCGGGCTCGTGTGGTCTGATCGGCCCCCAGTATAACTCGGCCTCCGCCATGCCCCGCAAGCTAATAAAACAAATAATTTAATTGAACATGTATCAAACAACAGCCTCGTCCACCCTTTGGCCAGCGCGACTCAGAGCCGCTTCGCCCTGACGACGTGGATCAACGACCCGCGCCTCGCCACGATGTACTAACACCCCGCCTGTCTCGTTAGACGCTCGCCGGTTCGATGTCCTCGTCAAGGGGCCCGTCGCTTAGGGCACGCCCTGCGCGGCAGCCGCGGCCGCCGCCTCGCGCCTCGCTTTCGCCTCCCTAATTTTCTTTTGCCAACCCTTGAGGCGTGGCCTCGTCGGTTTGGCAGGCGCCGTCGCCACGGATTCCTCCTCGTCGTACGTTCGCGACAAGCCCCGTCGCCGAAGGAAGGCGGCGGCCGACGGCGAGAACAACTTCGCCTGAGAGATCCCGCCCGTGTGCCGAGGTTCTGGCCGACGCCGTTCAGGCAAAAGCCCAGGCGCTGGACCATCGCATATTCCGCGTTGAAGGACGCGATCTCGAAGAGCTCGGACATTTTCGGGCCCATCGCGTCGGCGAGGCTCTCGAACCCAAAGGTCCGCAGGCCCTCGGCGATGCCCGCCGAGCCGCCGTAGTGGAGCTTCACCACGGCGAAGACCTCCTCCGGCGGATTCGTGAGGTCGCGGAGCTCCGCGGGGTACGACGGGTGCCGCGCGTCGTAGGGCTGTGGCACGTCCAGGTGCGCGAACGCGGGCCTCACGGTGTCGTACGTGAAGCGGAGGTTCGCCGCCTCGGTTTTGTAGTCGAACTCCTGCGCGAAGCACTTCCTCTGGATCTCGAGCGCGTCGACGAGCTCGGGGTTCACGGCCTGGAAGATGCGGAGGATGACGTCGAAATCCATGCGGAAGAACTTCTCCGTGTCCGGGTATTGCACTTTCACGACGACGCCGCGGCCGCCCCGGAGCGTCGCTCGGTGGACCTGGCCGATGCTCGCCTGGGCAGAGAAAAGAGGGATTCAAGTTCGCTTCAACGTGAGTCTTCCGCGCGCGCGCGTTCCGGAAAAAGCATCCACGCTTCGAGACCGTTCCGAGAGATGCTCGCTCGTCCAAAAACCAGCCGAAACGAGTGGAAAACGGCCGAGATAGGAAGTTGGGCATTTCGCTCTCTTTTCCTGCCCCGATGCTCGCCGCGCCGATGGGCTCGCGGTCGAAGGACGAGAAGACGTCCTCCATGGGGCAGCCGAGCTCCGCTTCGACGATGGATCGGACGAGCTCGAAGGGCTGCGGCGGCACGCTCTCCTGCAGGACCTTGAGCGAGTCGCCGTACGCCTCCGGGATGAGGTCGGGCTGCCCGGACATGACCTGCCCGATCTTCACGTAGAAGCCGCGGAGGTCGAGGCAGACCTTGAGCGGCTCGTCGGCCCAGCGCGCGTGGTAGGCCTCGTACGCCGCCGCCGCCGCCGCCTCGGGCGCGCCCCGGACGTCCCAGCCGACGCGCGCGTAGTCCGCGGCCATGGGCACCAGCGACGCGCCGACGCGCATGTAGCGCCAGAGGCCCTCGTTCGTGGAGTAGACGTAGACGCCGCCGGCGGCGGTCGCGACGGCGCCAGCTTTCAGGACCTTACCCGCGAAGCCGGACTCGTCTCCCGGCCGTCGTCCGAGCGGCTGGCGTCCGAAGCGGCCGACTGGTGGGCGCCCTCGCCGCCGCCCGACGGCGATGAGAGGACGCGCCCCGCCGAGGCCGACGACCGAGCGCGCCGGCAGCAACCGTCGCATGGCGAGCATGACCTAGGAATGCCTAGGTGGCCAGCATGCTCCCGAGCAAAGCAAAGTAATAAAAGCGAATCTTGAACATATATCCAAACAAAAGCTGAGTGTTTAGCGCTTCCTTGGCCCACCCCAAGTCTGAGCGGTCTCGGCGCTCGTCAACGGCCGTCGGCGCCGGTGGTCGGGGGCTCGGAGCCCGTCGCCGCCGCGCCCGGAGCGCAGCGCGCCCGCGCGAGGGTTGCGGCGCGCCGTCGCCACCTCGGGCGACGCCCGGCGGCGCGCGTCGAGGGCTGCCCGCCCGGAGCGGCCGCGGCGGCGCCATGAGCGCCGACCGCGGATTCACGGCGGAGACCCAGGCGACGTTCGGCAGCAGTGCCGGCCCCCCGACGTCGACGGGCAGCGCCAACGTGCTCGACGCGTCGCAGCTCCGGAGCCGGCTCTACTGCGGGCCCGGCTCGACGCGGGACCGCGGCGGCGGCCTCCAGCCCCTGGCCATGTTCTCGGCGTCGGGCCGCCAGGCCGCGCGGCGCCTCGAGCCGAAGATGCGCGCCCTCAAGGGCTCGAAGTCGACGCCGGGCCTCTTCGCGCGGTCCCTCGACGGGAGCGACGCGGCGTCGAGTGCGCTCGGCGCGGACCGCGCGGCGGCGACGATGACGGGGCGCCACATCCTGACGAAGCCCCACAAGATGCGGGCGAAGCTCGCGGCGCCGCCCGAGGCCGTCGTCGCCTTCGCCGCGGCGGCGACGGCCGCGCCCGAGGCCGCGGCGATCGCGCCGCCCCGCGCGGACGAGACGGCGCTGGTCGTCGCGGAGCCGAAGAAGCGGAGCTTTTTGGAATCCTTAAACCTGACGCCCCAGCAGATGGCGTCCTTCATCGACGACGCGGGCAATTTCCTCTACCTGACGCACTCGCGCGACACGCTCCACGCGGGGTCGGCCTACGATCTGGTCGTCGTCGAGCACGCGCTCGTCGACAGCGGCGACTACTTCACGCTGTCCTGCAGCGGCATGACCCACTTCACGGGCGTCAACTCGGACTTCACGCCGCTGCACCAGTGGGAGCGCGAGTACGGCCTCTTCCACGAGATGCGGCGCATCCCGTTCTTCGCGAAATACCGCGCCTGGAAGACGTTCTCCGTGTGGAAGAAGAACGTGAAGCGGAACAAGGTGCGGGCGGCGATCTTAGCATTGAAGGGGTCGCTCTTCCTCTTCATCCCGTCGCTCCGCGACGCGCTGCTCGAGATCCAGGCGCTCTGCCAGGAGACGCTGGCGCTGTCGCTGCTCGAGGCGGAGCCGGGGAAGACGTACGAGCTCGACGAGTTCGCCGCGGCCCAGGCCCACCTCCAGGACCGGCGCGCCGAGGCGCTCGTGCGCTTCTCCGGCGACGTCCAGTCCCTCGCTAGGACGGCCTGCGACGAGGTCGTCGACAGCTTTTTAAGGGCCGCGAAGATCGTCGCGGACCATCGCATGACGTTCATGGAGCGCGCGTCCCTGCGGAGCGAGTGCCGCAAGCTCACGCGCTTTTTGCGGTTGGTGGACTTCCACGTCGTCAACGCGTTGCGGGAGCTGGCGCTGGAGAGCGCGCGGAACGCGCTCGCGCTCGCGGCGCCGGAAATCGTGCCGACGCACGTCATCCACCGCGACGAGCCGCCGGAGGCCAAGGGCGACGACGACGTCGGGCTCGGCGGCGGCGAGACCTACGGCGGCGACGGCGAGGAGGACGAGAGCGCCCACGCGCCGCTGCTGCGCGTCGAGGTGTCGTTCACCAAGGGGTCGCTCGTGCTGTCGCCGTCGATGCGCGACGTGCAGAAGGCCTTCGCGGACATGCTCCAGGCTTGTTTGAAGGTCGTGGGCATCCCGGATAGGATATTTGCGCACCCGGATCTGGCGCTGTACATCATGTCGGACACGGACGACGCGCCGGGCGACGTCGCGCGCGAGGAGACGTCCGTCCAGGATTTGGTCGCGTCCGAGGAGAAGTGGAAGCGGGCGTCGTCGGCCATCGGCACGGCCCTGGAGGCGGCCTACGACGCCGCGACGGACTACGCGACGTGCGTCGAGCCCTACTGCGGCAAGGCGCAGGAGAACGGCGACTTTTTGGAGGTGCACAAGGACGCGCTCGGGAAGGACGTGAACCTGGAGAAGTACGCGCACGCGATCACGGACTACCGGGCCCAGGCCGCGGACTTTGCGACGATTCCCCGCTCCGCGGACGTGGGCATCTTACGGGTCGACTCGCTCGCGCTGAAGCGGCTCCTCGTGCCGTCGCCGACGCGGTGCCTCGACGCGTTGCAGGCCTACCTGCCGGAGCTCATGGACATCGGGTTCAAGCAGCTCCTGGACCAGCTCGGCTCCATCCTGCCCGTGGTCACGGGCGCGCCGGCGAACGTCGCGGTCTTCGTGACCAAGAAGCGCGTCGTCAAGGAGGCGCAGGAGAACTACGAGGGCTACAAGGAGGCGCAGCAGAAGCTCATCGCCATGGCCGAGCTCATGGAGTCCGAGGACTGGCCCGTGCCCGAGGACCAGAAGGCGCATCTGGTCATGGCCGACGAGAACATGACGACGCTGGACACGGGCGTGCAGATCGCCGAGGGCCGCGAGGAGGAGGACACGAAGCGCTTCGCGACGGAGGTCGCCGAGGAGGTGCCGCGGCTCAAGAAGCGCATCGCCGAGGTGCGCGAGCAGCTCGACCAGCGCATCGTCGCGTCCCTCGACGAGCGGCCCGAGAACGTGCTCGCGTTCCTCGAGATCCAGTCCGACGCGCTCGACGAGCTCAAGAGCCGGTCCGAGACGCTCTGCGACTACCAGGGCGAGCTCGGCCAGGACATCGACGAGTACGACACGCTCGACGAGGTCGCCGCGGACCTCAACCTGAAGCTGCGGTTGTGGCGCGGCGTCAAGGAGTGGAGCGGCCTCACGGCCGAGTGGGTCGTCACGCCCCTGTCGGAGATCGACGCCGTCGAGCTCGAGAAGCACGTCCAGGCCTACAACAAGACCGTCTTCCAGGCCTCGAAAGGCCTGCCGGGCAACCCCGTCGTGCCCAAGCTCAAGGCGTCCGTCGAGACGTTCACGCCGGTCCTACCCGTCGTCGTCAACTTGAGGAACGACGCGCTCCAGGAGCGCCACTGGGCCATGATCCACGACCTCGTGGGCTTCGAGATCCAGGGCGACGCCGCCTTCACGCTCGGCGACATCATCAACAAGGGCGTCACGGCGCACCACGCGGAGATCACGGCCATCGCGACGAACGCGACGCAGGAGTCCGTGTTGGAGGAGATGATGGCGAAAGTCACGAAGCAGTGGGAGTCGACGGAATTGATCGTCATGGACTACAAGGACGTGAAAGATTTGTACATCCTCGGCGACGTCTCGGAGAACATCGCGGCGCTCGACGAGTCGCTCGTGACGGTGAACACGGTGCTCGGCAGCCGCTACGTCGGCGGCATCCGCGCGTTCGTCGAGCGGTGGCGCCGGGACCTCATTTTGTTCCAGGACACGCTCGACGAGTGGCTCGCCTGCCAGCGCGCCTGGATGTACTTGGAGACCATCTTCTCGTCGCCGGACATCATCCGCCAGCTGCCCGCGGCCGCGAAGCAGTTCCAGGCCGTCGACAAGAGCTGGCGGTCCATCATGAAGTCGACGGCCGACGACCCCATCGCCATCAAGGCCTGCTGCGTCAAGGACCGCAAGGAGACCTTCATTTCCCATAATGCGACGCTCGACAAGATCCAGAAGTCGCTCGAGGAGTACCTCGAGA